TCCGATTTATATTTCATACTTTGTACCCGGCATCACGCTCATTACGGATTACGCCTTTACTATGGGTAATAATACGATTTGCTATTGCTGTAATTCGCAATTTGTGGACCTCGATGTTCCTATCAAGTGTGATGGGTGTGCTTTGTTTTTTYACCCAAATGTTCCAGGCTATCATCCTCTGAACTAAAATGCCTGGGATTGAAGAACAGACTGCTCAAATTTTTCTGTACTGGCTGTGATAAAGGTCTAAAAGAATTACCAGAGCTCAAATTGTTATTATATAAACTGATTTTTGAAGTTGATAATTTGAAATCAAATTTAGGTAAAAATCAAAATCTCTCCAATGATTTCATTATTAATAAAATTAACGAACGCAATAAACGAACGAATTATGATATTTTCTATAATATCCAAGAAAGTAATTCTAATCAGTCTGGTGAGAGATTATCTTACGATATCACACAGGTACACAACAGTACGGTTGCTTCTATTCTAGTTGACACAGATAATCTGCCTATAACACTGAAGGTCATTCGTCTTGGTTGTTATCAACCTACGTCGTAAACTACGTCCTATCAAAGCTATCTTTGAAACTGAATCCATTGTGTTTGATATTATTCGAAACAAATAAAAATTTACTCTTTCAAATCCGTCGTCTATAACTTATATATCTACAGATAGAACCCCTTACCAGAGAGACTATATGAAAAGTTTGAAGGAGGAGCTGATGGCACGTACAAGCAATGGTGAAACGGGATTAACTATTAAATTTATTAAAGGTATAGGTACCCAAAATTGTTAATATTGCTACTTTGTCTAATACTCTTAATAATAAGCAACATTTTTAGCCTCCACGTAATATATCAAAATGTTAGAGGTCTTAGGACTAAGCTTGAATTTTTTCGTAACTGTGCCCTTAATTTAAATTGCGATTTATTATTTTTGTCTGAAACATGGCTAAACAGCGACATTAACAATGTTGAACTTGGTCTTGTAGATTATAACTTATTTAGAGTGGATAGAATTTCTAATTTACACGTGAGAGGTGGTGGAGTTTTATTGGCTACTAGGAAACATCTAAATTGCAAATTATTAAATTTTGACATTATTCAATGTGTTGATCAAGTATTTGTTTTGATTTCTTATAATATTATTAATATACTTCTAGGTTGCATTTATTTTCCACCAAATTCCCCTATAAATGTATAGTATAAGCATTGTAAGATGATAGAAAATTTTTTAGTAAGAAACTCTATTAAACATAATATTTTAACATAATATTTGAACTTTCAGTCTCTGACTACACTTTATTTAGAAATCTATATCCACTGTTCTTGTAAATTTTTATATTGATTATTTAAATCTAAAGCAGGTTAATAACGTTATCAATAGTCACAACGGCATTCTTTATTTAATATTTACAAACTCTACTGTTGATTCTACGCATGCCTCAAATCGTTCACTAATACCTCTAATTTATTTGTATCATCCACCTATAGAATTTATCTCTCTCTTTCAAATACCAAATATTAATTACCAATCTATCTCTCCTGAAATTTTCAATTTTAATTCTTGTAATTTTAATGACATTCTTGCTTTTTTGTTTTATATAGATTTTATGTGTATAGAAAATGTTATATTGAAATTCCATGAAATAATTAATCATTCTTTTGATGTATTAGTTCCAAGGATAACGTTAGATCTGAACGCAGATCATAACGTATCATGGTCAAATTACAATTTAAGAAAAATAACTAAACTAAAAAATTAGTGCATAAAAAATACAAAATTTCAAATTCTTTTTCTGATTATTCTATATTTTCTAATTTACGAAAGGAGTGTAAACAAYTATCCAAACAACTTCAACTAAATTATATACTTAAAATCGAAAATAACATTAATATCAATATAAAATCATTTTGGAAATATATTCGATCTCTCAAATCAAACAAATCCAACATTCCGATGTCAATGTTTTCGAATAATACATCTGMTCACAATTTAGAAGAAATTTTTCAATTATTTGCTAATAATTTCTCCTCTGTTTACTCTAAAAACAAATTGGCTGATGATATTCTTGAATCCCTTAATGTTAATGTTCATGATATAAATATTAACTCAATGACCATATCTGAGGATGAAATTTCTGATTATTTAATATCTATTGATGATAAATCGCCAACTGGCCCTGATGGTATTCCACCAATTTTCCTAAATAAATGATTTTCAGTGCTTATCAAGCCTTTGCACTATTTGTTTAATTTATCTTTATTAACCGGTGTTTTCCGAATTTCTGGAAAAATCATTTATTACAYCTAAACATAAGTTTGGGAGTAAGAATGACATATGTAATTGTCGGCCAATCTCTAAACTCTCTTCTATACCTAAATTATTTGAGGCTATTATTTCTAAAAAACTGTCTAGTTTATTATTAAATTATATTAATCCACTCAGCGTGGTTTCTTAGCGAAACACTCGATTTTCACCAATTTACCAGTGTACCAAAATTATCTCACTAATTCTTTAGATGAAGGTCTTCAAGTCGACATCATTTACACTGATTTTCAAAAGGCTTATGACAAAATTTACCATATTTTACTATATTATAAATTAAAATCATTTGGTATAGATGGATTTTTTCTTAAATGGCTATACTCGTACCTCACAAACAGAACTCAAGCAGTGAAAATCTCATTCAACGCATCTCAAAATTTTCAGGTCTCTTCAGGGGTTCCTCAARGTTCCTATTTAGGTCCTCTACTGTTTATAATCTTCATTGATGATTTACCACATTTTATATTAGAAAATTCTAATATAGCTCATATTTTATTATTCACTGATGATGCTAAAATATTCTGCATTTKAATTTTGTAAATTTGAAGCTGATCAAACAAATCTACAATTAATGTTAGATAATTTTGTTTTATTGAGCGAAAAAAAATGTTTACCGTTAAATATTGATAAATGTAATGTAATGTATTTTACCCGTAAGACTAATCCTCTTTTAAAACAATATACAATAAAAGATTATCCCTTATCGAGAGTCAATTCAATTAAAGATTTAGGGATTCACTTTGAAAGTGATCTTGGCTTTAAAATTAATCATAAATAAATCCTTAAAAAATCATATAAGATGTTARGTTTCATAAATATAAATACTACAGAATTTAGAAATCCCTACGATTTTACATGGAGGAAAAACTGCTTTCAAGTTGCCATTCAATTTGAACACCATCGAGACCCCAACGTCCAATATTAATAAACAATCGAATTTGGYGAAAATTCTAAAGAAATGCAAGCTCATAGTTTGGGATGAAAGCACAATGTCTCATAAGAAAGGATTTGAAGCTTTAAACAATTGTCTGAAGGATCTGAAAAATTCGAATTTATTAAGTGAGCAGTCACGGTATTGCTRRCTGGAAATTTTGACAAACTCTACTAGTCGTACCAAGAGGAATTCAAGCTATAAATGAAATTGCAGCTTCCATCAAGTCTTCATATTTGTGGCCTCTARTAGAAAAAGTTTCTTTAACCATAAATATGCGAGTACATTTAAAAGGAGACAGGACTGCTAAACAGTTTTCAGAGTTACTCTTAAAATAGGAGAATATTTTGTTTGACATTGGTAGATACTATTATGAAGTGTAAAGTTTAAAGAAAGGTTATTATAAAAGTTAAATTATTTACATTATACATACGACATAATAATATATTATATTATATATATTTATCATATTAAAACCGTTTATTCAACTCATTTATTTTATTTGTATATTCAATTATATTTCAGACGTGGTTACGAACTTCAAAAACTGAACTAAATGATCAACATGCATTATGTGTGGAAATGAGAGAATTCATGCGTATTGTTAATCATATCGGAGGGGAATATTCGCAATGGTATATTGAGATAGTTACTGAATTCAAAGAACTTGTAAGTATTTTACATTTTCAAATCGTTTTATTTTAAATTTAATTATCATTCTTTGTATAATGTTACATTAGAACACATTCACATTTATTTCATCAATAATAAGAACTTAGTTTGATAATTTTGATAGAACGATAGTAATTATAGATACATAAGACATATAGGTACTAAATTTATGTTGTAAGGCACACATAACAATAACATGTTCTCATAATCCATAAATGACATAGCGTTGGGCATATGAAATAATTGTTAGTTTACTAATACAACGTTTGATAATATTTTTTTGTTTTAGTCTATTGAAATTGAATTTAAAGATGGAGATGCAGTTATAGATACAAATAAAGAATACTCTAAGGTAAAACAATAATTAAAGAATTTATTCACAACTACGAAAGTTATTTAAATATATATATATATATATATATAGTTACTGTTTTAAAAATATATTCGTCTAAATACATAATTTATTCGTTTTTTTAGGATGTATAATGAAAGTGAAATAATAATCTGTACATAAATAATTTTAAAATTAAACACTACTTTTACGACCAATAGAATATACATAATATATTGAACATATGTGTATAATATATATTTTATTGAATTGAAACGTAAAAAATAATAATTTGATATTTTATTTATTAATGTAAATTAATGATATTGCATTAATTAGGTGGTTCAAAAACACTTTTTGAGCAGCGAATTTTTTCCGATACCTATTTATTATTGATGGAAGCTAATATTTTGTTTTTAGTTGGTACTTTAGGGATTGAAAGTTGGAAGTTCCAAGAACTTTTCATAATAATAAAATTGGGTAAACTAACTAAAACARGGATACGGGAATATTTATGCAACACAAATTTTTGACTAATCGATTTTGTTTGTTTTTGTCTGAAGCAACAATCATAGGGATCACTATACTTTTTTATAAATAAAATAAAGTATGTTTGATACGCTTTAGATACTTATAGACATTTTAGTATACGTATATACTTTGTATAGCCCCTTTCCCCCCTAAAAAAAATTGAATTCAAGTTTAACAAAATACACTATATAGGTACACTCAGTAACATATACCTTATTTTTATGGATATTTKATGATTTAATATTTAGGAAATTTCTTATTTTATAGAAAAATAATGAYTAGTTTTTTTATAACATAAAAAAATATTATTCTTAGAGAATTGTTATTTCGCAATACGGATAGGTATAATCTTTTGACATTTTCAAATTTTTTAAATACAATGAAAATTTCTAAATATTTTGACAAATTTGATATTATTTATAACATGAACCCATTCACACTAATCTACGKACCTAKTATATATATTATAATATTATAATTGATATATAGTTAGTATTGATATAGACCTTACCTATGAGTGAAATCCAATGTTTTGCAAAAAGCAATTGTTCATCTCACCTAAAAAAATATTAAAATTAAATAATGATATAAATGAAATATATATATATATATATTTCTATTATATTATATATACTAACAATCTCCTTATTTGTTCTAAGAATTGTTTTTCGTCTACAATGACGAGTTCCGCTCGAAATCGAAATCTCTAAAACAGTAAAAGCAAGTTTTCTGGTTTTTATAAAATTATTATATTACCTTTATACGATTTATTTTTTAATGACCATATTTCAATTAGTTTATGAGAATATAATATGAACTTTAAACTTATAAAATTTCAATTTTAATCTAAGATACATAATTTTTTTTTTTCAGAATACAATAATTAACCATTTTAATATTAATATAAGCAAACATTCATACACATCTGCTCACACTGTTTGCTCATAATATAATTCCATTCCCAACCCCAGCTGAGTTTGAGAAAAARAAAATTACTATATTTGTTTAGTTTAATCAAATTTCATGAAATATTGGTTATAGACTATAAAAGATTAAATACTATTTTTTTTTTCAAACATTTTAAGCTGCCTGTTATTATAATTTTCTCCTTAAAAAAAGTTTAAAAATTCTTGTTTTGACTATCTATTAACTTGTTAAGCGAAATTAACATTATGTACTGATTTTTTTTAGTTTTGGAAATAATATGTTTAATATTAAATCATTACGAATTAAATTTTAACTAAACCGACTTTAAATAATTACGATCACATAAATATAATAAAAAATATTTTCAAYTTTTTCAATTGGTTGATAGATATAATACGTACCTCTGTGGTTGTATATACAAAACTATAAAATGTTGTTCTTCATTTCATTACTTTGTACTTATTAATTCTATCAAATATTTTATATTATTACCTGTATATTTCATAATTAATAAAAATTAATACAGTTATGTATTTAATTTCTAAAGACATTATTGAATTCTGAAATAGCAAACATATTATGTAGAACCTAAGCATTAAGGAATAYTTTCTTTGACTCGTTATATAAGTTGTGATTGAAACATTAATCTCATAATTATAAATATTAGTATTGAGTAGGTTCCCACTTGACTATAAACAGACAGACGTTACCATATATAGCTGTAGTGGATTATTGAAACAATGATATGTGTATAAATTTCTATTTAAGTTTTATTTGATAATTTTAATGTTTGATACTTACATTTTAAAACTAAGACACATTAATAAGCTTAGGTAGTGGAATACTTAACTTTTAAGCTCTTTGAAGTAAAATCTCGTTATAGTAATTTTATTAAAAATAATCAATTTTAAATACTAAAKGTAGGTACTATTGGTATAGTTCTTTTAATTTAATTTTTAATAATTTATTGTTATTATACATAATKTTTATGCATAAGAATTATTTTGATGGATATAAATAGCTACACGATTGAGAATTTAAAATTTAATGGGTAGGTTTTCAAATATGTACCTACCTATATTATAACCAATGGACGAAAAAAATATTAAAGAATCATATAGGTAAATAATAACTACTAAAACATTGTACTGCCTACGTATAAAACTGTTTACAACATTTGGATACAATAGGCACTTTAGTGTGTTAGATATAATATAATTAATTATCTTATATCTTCTGAGTTTTGCTTTTCAAGCAAGGATTTAAAATTTAAGAAAAGATTTTAATAACTTGTCTTTAAATAAGGTGTGACAAGTAAACAAATTTTTGTATCCTGTCAAAACTTTTTTTTTTTCAAATTTAAAATCCAATACAAAGTTATATAATATTTAAATATTGTTACCTATGTAATATAATTTTTTCCAAAAGGATTTAAAATCGATAGTTAATAATGTTAATMATTTAAACGCTATTTCTCCAAAATTTTTAATTGTTATTAATTTTCGGGATTCATGGCTTGAATAACACCGGATAGATAATAATTTCTATTAAAACACAAAATAAACGTGCCTATAAACATATTTATTGCTTAAGGTACTCGAATTCATTGMCACTTCAAACCAGCTTATTACAACTACACGTATGTCAGATACATTATATGATAATAATAATGTTAAACTTTAATCTTATATGTACTTACTTGTAATTTGGAAAGATGTGTATCAAAGTTTTTCTGACATTCTGTGTGTCTATTTGAGGTGTTCATCGATGATAATGATATCGTTGTATGATAGGTCCCCTCCTAAATTATTACTGAGAAAGCTGATATTTTCAAGTCACTTTTAAATATGATCTTTAATTTATAACTCACGTCGTCTTAATTTAAATTTTTGAAACTTTTATTTAGTTTCACTGTATCTATACTCGTATAATTTTATACCAATATATCTATTAATTTAGCGTTTAATAACTTTGAATTTTTATTTTTATTAGATTTTATTTTTGTAACTTATTTTTAAAACTTCTTATCTAAAAATTGATAACTTAATTTAATTTAGAAATTTAAAAATTATTGATTGACAGCCAATGGGTCACTTTTTTAATAAGTAATCCAAGCCATTGGACAATATGTTCTAGTAGGTCCTGGTAGAAAATGCTACCCTTAGTTCTATGTACACGGAGAGTTTTCAAAAAAATAAAAAAATATACCACACAAATTTTAAACATCAAATTATGATGTAAATTTGTCACCTACGTATTATGTACCGGCTTTTTTGTATGATACGGAAAACAAACGCAGCTTATAGGTATATTAAAGCGCTTTGTATAAAAAGGAATGAATTATTATTTATTTATCTCTAAAGGCTCTTTACTAAATTATAATTAATACATCATATTGRTTTTATAATTATTTTACAACGTATCATTGTTTTCGTACAGTTGCAGAGCGCTGTGATCGCGGGCACGTTGCACTGCAGCAGCGACGAGGCGATCGGGCTGGCCATCTTGCAGTTTCGCATCGAGAAAATGGCAGAGCGCCGAAACCAGACGCCGGACAGCCTAACCGCGAACAGTCCAGATTCGCTTTTGGACGGCGGTGGACCGTGCACCACCTTGCAGCCGATATCCGAAGATAAGGAGCACCAATGGCCGCAAGACGTGCCCTCGGTGGTGACACCGTCACCGGTACTCCAGCCGCAGTTCAACATGTTCAGTGTGGCCACGGTCACCAGCCCGACGATCACCGATGAACCGTCTATCGGCAAGATCCGCAGTTTCTTCATGCGCTCGTGCCAGTATCTCTGCTTCGGCCGCCGTCGTCGCCAGAAAGATGTCCAACCGGTGCGCGATCCGTTCGGCATCCTGCACAAGGTGCAC